ACTATAGTAAGGTAATTTTAATATATTTGATTTAAAAATTTGCTATATCAAGGGTTCGCTATATCAAGGTTTGACTGAAATGTAAATTTTTCAGTACTAGTTTATGAAAATAGGTCAATAATTAGAGTTTAAGATTCAAATCATGCTAAAAAATAATAGAAATAATGTATATAGTGATGCATATCTATTAATACTTGACAAAGATATTATTAGATATAATCAGATTTTTACTCTTGCTAAAGATAATAATTTAGCATTATATATAAGAGATGTAATTAATGTAGATAAATAAGATAACAGTACTGCATTAAGATTTTTTAGTTCAACTCTTTTAAAGCAATGTTAAAAAACAGTATTTTTAATTCAGATAAATTAGGATTATTTGTATATTTATTTATTTTTGATAAATTATTTAAATTTTAAATTAAAATAATATAAAAGTAATAATTAATAATATATTTATTTTTTAAATAATAGGTGAATTTTTTGATGTATACTTGAACATATGGGGTGAATGCTAGGAAAAGGGATCAAATCAACAAAAAATTTTTTTTTGAAATAACAAATGCCTATTTTTTTTATTAATGTGAAAGAAATATTATTAACATGTAATTCTTGCAAAATACAACTATTAGACAAGTGTCAGAGTATTATTTCTTTTAATTACACAGTAATCTTAAGGATTGTACAAATTTATTATTATGACTAAGGTTGCTAAATGAAATCAAAAGTTTAGATAAACGTCTAAATGGTAAAAATAAAACTTGGTTAAATTATATTAAAATCTTATTAAAAAATCTGCGAAATTTGAAAAAAGTAAAACTATATTAAAGCTTATAAAAATGGTGAAAATATATCAAACACTTAGTAAAAATTTAGCAAAACTAAAGGTTTAACTGTTTTGCTAAATCCAAAATGAGTTTAGACAAGCAACCTTAATCGTAACTAAATTCAAGCAAAGGTTTCAAATAAAAGTTTATATGAATATTTCACAATCAATAATTCATGAAGTATTGAGTAATTATATTTTCAAGTAAGATTTTTATTGATAAAATAAAAAATAGAAATGAAGAAAATAAAAGATATGACAAGAAAAAAGAAAAGGAAATAAAAAAATGAAGTATTAGACTAAAATGTAACATGATAGGCCTGTTTGCCTTTTAAAAACTACTGGAAAACTGACTTATCAAATCCTACTTTTTACATGATCTAAAAAGCTATTTATTTATATAAAATACAGTATATAAAAAGATATAACTAATATTCTAATATATTGTATATGTCAAATATGTCTGATATGTCATATATATTGAATCTATCTAATATATCTTATTTATTGATCATATCAGATATATAATATGTCAGACATGTCAGAAATGTTAGATATGTCAGATATGACAGGTTTGTTAATTATCTGCGTTCACAATATTTAGAAAAATATAGTAATTTACATTTAAGTAAATAGTATTCATTTTTTAAAAGTTATATTTCATTGCAAAGTTGAAAAATATTTATTAGTTTGGCAGAATCTATAGTTTTGTTAATTATATCTTATAGAAATTTTATTCAAAATTTCCTTTTTTTATGAAAATATAGTATTGAAGCTATTGAGCATATGTTTAGAATTGCAAGACAAATTGTATTAGATTTTTCATATTATAAATTTTATAAAATAGTAAATCATATAATGTATAAAGATAAAATTTTAAGAGTTGAAAATTTGATCAATAATCAGAATAAAATATCAACTCAAGGTATTTAAATTATATAATAATATTTTTTTATTTTTTATATAAAATTAACTTAATTCTTTATTATTAGGATATATTTTTGATATTAATAAAAGTATTTTATTTGAAAATGAAATTGAATTATTAAGATATTAGTCAAATGATAATGAAATTGGAAATGCAATTAGAATAGCACATTCAAATGCATTATCTTTTTATGGATTATCTTGGAATTAGGAAGTAAAAAAAAATACTAATATTAAATGTTATTATGTTTAATTCAGATTGTGAATCAAATGAAAATGAAAATGATAAACTAAAAATATTAGAACAAATTCATAACTTTGAAGGTGCTGTTTTTGAAGTTATAAGACTATCTGAATTAAATAAAACTTTAAAAGAAATGTTAAGTAATGATCAAAAAAATACTGAAAAAAATGGTAATAGTAATAGTAATAACAGTAGCGATAGGAATAATAATTATAATGATGATTGTGAAAACAACAATAATAATAATTTTATTAAAACAACAGAAATTTAATATATATTAGAAAATAGTAAATTAAATTACCAGAGAATAAACTAAAAGAATCAATTTTTAAAAATAGAAATCTTGATATATGGGATGTTTGCTAGAAAAATGGGGTTCTGAGACATTTTTTAAAAAATTGAAATTTTTGATACATATTAATCTATAACTTATA